CGAGGCTGAATCACACCCACATGGCAAATGGCGCCTTAAAACAGCGGCACATCATCAGCATATACTTACTCTTTGGGAGGGTATGAGCATGGGGGGGTCACTTGCTTTGGTGGTTGAGTCGGTGAGGTGGTTGGTTGCTTTGTTGATTGTTTGGTTGATTGGTTAGCTGAGTTTGGTTGGCTTGACGGTTGATTGGTAGAAGGGTTGTCTGCCTGGCCGGTTGGCTGCTCGGTTGCTTGGTTAACATATTAGTTAGTTGACAGAAGCAAGACGAATTCACATGTCTCTTCCAGTCTACTCGGACCGTCACTCTTCTGTAATAAAGCACTCCTGTCTGGTTGCGCTAGCCACGACACCGATGATAATTCAGCGTGTTCCGGGGTAAATAACCGAAGCGACTGCGCTCCCTGGGCCATGAAGTGTGCCACATGCTAACAAACGCCTCGTCTGCGAAGTGCGATAACGACGCTCATCCCTTCACATCGCTGAGGGGCGCTCCAGTGATCGTCTGGCGCTGAGCTCACAGGCGGCTCATAATGCAACACTTTTGGCGCTCGATCTTGTTGAAAGCGTCATCTGCCGGAGCCCGGCTCGAAGAGGCGCCTGGTCGGGTGGTGACGATGGCGACTGGGGCCGTGCACCGTAGCCCCCGATATGGGCACCACCACGGCGGAGTCCGTCCGTCGCTGCACTGCCGTCAGGCTCTATTCAGTAGCGGCGGTGCGCTGAATGGCTCGGGATGACGTGAGGACAGCCAGATTTCGTCAGCCTGATGAGTTCTTGTGATCGGTGACCGATTGGTCGTTTATGGATTTATGGATCCTGATCAAGGATGCTTTTTACTTTACTGTCCGACTAGCTTTCTGCCCAGGGCGTAACTGGACTTTCGCCAACGAAACCGATGCTTCTTACGCGGCTAAGGAAACCTCACTTCAAAGCGTTTGAAACAGCATGTCAATGGCTGCGAAATGCTCCTTCTTGAATCAGTGGCTAAGTCACTCTCTCGTATAGCAAGAATCCAAAGGCCTTTGAGAATCGTCCGCATTGGATTGTGTATAATGGGCCGTCACCGCCACCCAGTGTACATTGGCCATGCCGGCAGCGTTCGTATGACGCGCTTACAGCCATAAACGGAGCCTCATCAAGTTCATGAGCGGGACGGAAATACATATTCCTCCCGGAGCACTGCGCATTTGCGTTTTTGTGGTTTTTGGCGAGGTTTGGACAAATTTTTGGCCAAATGGTACAGGACAAGGCAAACATTCAGAGGACAAGGCAAACATTCAGAGAACAAGGCAAACATTCAGAGGACAAGACAAACATTCAGAGGACAAGACAAACATTCAGAGGACAAGACAAACATTCAGAGGACAAGACAAACATTCAGAGGACAAGACAAACATTCAGAGGACAAGACACGAACATTCAGAGGACAGGACACTAACTAAATCAAATCACAACATCTTGAGTTTTAGCCGCCGCGTGACGGATCTGCAGAATAGTAGATACAGATTCTACCGTTGCGCTTTCCACTGTTTCACTACTGCTCCCATTCATGACCGCCTTTGTTTTCACTCCCTTCGTTTGGCGTAGACAGCAAATAAGGTAACTGTAAAATTAGCTCAATCAACAACAAGCCATGCACATGGAACCATCCTTAAACATATGAACTATGAGCTATCAGTAAGTTAAGCGATGACTGCAGCTTGTATCCACCCATAATGGTCGCCATTATTGGAATCGGCGAATTCTCCGTCGGTCTGCCTTCGACTGTTCAGGGTCTGACGTGACTGATCACCGTGGTCTGAATACGCTTTCCAGGCACTGTTGTCAGTCAACGTTTGGCATGCATCTGTAAGTGGAAGTGAGCTGAGCAAAAACGTCCCTGAGCGCATCCGAGCAGGACGCTCATCAGGCTGACGTCATTCGTTTTTCGAATGGCAACAGGAGTGGACAGACCCCAATAAGATATCAGCCTTAGGTAGCTCTGTGCCGACAGGACACGTGCTCCTTTACCCTCCCTTACGGCGCAGGTTATCTCGAGGCACCGCGTCATGCGAAACACTGAAAGCATTCTGGACATACCATATCCTGCACGCCCCGTCAGTCGGCCGCTCCTTTGTTGTTATAACTGGACGCAGATACAAGTTCATGCAGCCAGATGCCTTTAGAACCCAGCGCAAATGGGCTGTTTACCAACGCATTGGAGTACGTCTTTCATGATATTTTTGAAAGTGTAGGTCCACTGTTGGTTGCAGTTTACTTATAAGCAACGCTGCTTGAAAGCTGGTTTGCCATGGGTCCGGCCAGCGCCGTAATTTCAGTCACTAACATGAAGGAATTTATCACGGATGCCTGGTTTTTGGGGTAGCGGCTACTCGGTCCGCAGCTGCTGCAGACCGAGTATTGCAAAACGACAGCGAAAATTTACCGCTATGCACACAACGGGACTGAAAAGATCAATCATAAAAAATATTGATTTGTACTCATGTATGTTTATTGTGACGGGGGCTAAATAGTAATGGAATCATGCGCATGTTATAGGTGAGTATTGGTTTGCAGTGAAATAGGATTCACGCCCGTGTGATTTTCTTTGGATAACCTCTCTTGGTGTGGGTTGCAGATGGTTGTATTCGGGGCTAGTTTCGAGGAGGGTGTAGGCTGCTTTCCAGCCAGTTGCTGATGTGCCTACTCAGCCAACAGTCTTGAAATCACTTATTGGTTTGTAGGCACTCTGCTTTACCGTACAGTTGAAGTAACATGTGCACCGGAATCTGAAATTTAACCTTAAAAACACCTCAAAACGGCCGGATTTTAGTGGTTTGTGCCCAGTCTGTAGTTTGTTTCATGACCGGCTGTTTCATATAGGCCCAGGACTTTGCCACTCCGAGAGTCCGTTTTTTCCCCGCCAAGCGATATTGATTTCGTACCACGGCGCCAGGTTGTCAAGGCCCGATTTCCACCAGTGTCGTGCAGGGTTTTTTTTTGCAATTAGCGAGGCTTACGTTTCTCATGTTAAACGAACGTTAAGACATGCAATGCTTAGAGAAAATGTTGCCAATTCACGCTGATAATACGGATGTCCGTTAAATTCGTTGGCACATTTTGCTGCTGAAAACTTCGTGGACGCTGCGAACACTGGTTGCAGACAAAAATGTATGAGCCCGTGATAGCCGTGTGAAGGCGAGCGCTCATGTTAGCAATTGTCTCACAGCTCACCCCAGACTCACTCATGTCAGCAATTGTCTCTCAGTTCACCCGAGACTCCACTCATGTTAGCGATTGTCTGTCAGTTCACCCGAGACTCACTCATGTCAGCGATTGTCTGTCAGTTCACCCGAGACTCACTCATGTCAGCGATTGTCTTTCAGTTTACCCGAGACTGGTTCATGTTAGCGATTGTCTCTCAGTTCACGCGAGATTCGCTCATGTTAGCGATTGTCTCTCAGTTCACCCGAGACTGGCTCATGTTAGCGATTGTCTCTCAGTTTACGCGAGACTCGCTCATGTTAGCGATTGTCTCTCAGTTCACGCGTGGCTCACTCATGCTAGCGATTGTGTCTCAGATCACCTTGAGACTGGCTCATGCTAGCGATTGTCTTTCATGTCACCCGAGACTCGCTTGTGTTAGCGATTGTCTCACAGCTTACGCGAGACTCGCTTGTGTTAGCGATTGTCTCTCATGTCACCCGAGACTCGCTTGTGTTAGCGATTGTCTCACAGCTTACGCGAGACTCGCTGGTGTCAGCGATTGTCTCACAGCTCACGCGAGACTCGCTTGTGTTAGCGATTGTCTCACAGCTCACGCGAAACTCGCTTGTGTTAGTGATTGTCTCACAGCTTACGCGAGACTCGCTGGTGTCAGCGATTGTCTCATAGCTCACGCGAGACTCGCTTGTGTTAGCGATTGTCTCACAGCTCACGCGAGACTCGCTTGCATTAGTGATTGTCTCACAGCTCACGCGAGACTCGCTCTCCTTGCCGCCGCGCTCGCGATAAACTGCTGACTAGCACAGATATCAATAAACGCGCAGCATCGTGTTGCATACAGATCATAGGGTACCCCAGTCAGCGCAGACTTATTGGCGCACCATTCTCTGGTAGACGTGACCACAGCCGGACGTTTCTGGCCGTGCCGGAGTGGGCGGCTCTCTCGCCGCTGCGGACACCTGTCACCTCTGGGTCGGGCTCGACGCGGCGGCCGGAGAAGCGGCGGCCTCTCGCGAGGGCGCGTGTTTGTCGCATGAGTCTCACCTTGACCGTTCGTGAACGATGCTGCCACGGTCTTCTTGAGTTAAAGCCATTTGAAAGCATATGGTGCTTGATGGACCCATTGAACCCTCGTCTTCTCGTGCACATATCACGTAGCGACATAGCCTGATCATGGACTGGTTGTCACGTGGCATGGTCCTAGCATTCTCCTTTTTCAGCGCTCGCTCGGGACATGCAAGCGTACGTCATAACAGGACCCGGCTGACCACAATCGTGTTAAACCTGCTATTCCACGTATCATACACCTCGTTGCTTCACACATTTCAGTGAGGCCATACCTGTGATTATCACTGGTGGAGCCCATACGAGCTCCGTTGACGGGGATGAATATCGTCGCACGAGTCGCAAACTTAGGGGTTCTTAAAATTACTTCGTTCGCGGGTAATGGTCACGACTTCCGTCAACTTAATCTCGTTGGTCATGTGTCTTTATATGCTGAAGGGAAACATGTTTTTAGAGCATTTCTGTAACATAACTACGATCAGATTTAATATGATTGCGATTGATTGAGCTTGTCAAGCTATTTCAGATGATGTTAAGTGGCGCACGTCGACGTAATGGAGTTATGTGGTGTGTTTTTATCCCGAGGCAGCCTTGGACCGCGATGGCCGCCATCCCGAATCGTTGGACTGTGAGGCCGCGTAACGCGCATCTGTGACCTTTCGCTTCGACCGTCGCGGCAGCGTCGCCGAGTCCCGCTTTGACCGCTGCTCTTCCGTCTGCCGCAGAGGTGTCTCCGGCCACATCGCCATCGCAGAGCTCCACCAACCTGACGAGCGTCGGTCAGGAGCCGGCAGTGCCTGGGCCCGGCTACAGCAAGCCCCGCAGCCTGTCGGTCAGCGCGCTGCAGCCGTTCAGCCTGCGACACCGCCTGCGCGAGCGCCGGCTACCGCTGTCGCCGGGCGGCGCGCCCGAGGAAGAGCCGCGCCGCCTCAGCGACGAGGACGCGATCCCCGAGCTGGACGAGCGCGACGCGGCACTCTCGACTCGCATCGTCGTCTCGCGCAGTCCCAGCCCCAACGTGGGTCGCACGCCGGCGTCGACGCCGCCGCCGACGCCACCGCCTCCGCCGCCTCCGCCGCCGCCGCCGCCGCCGCCACCGCCGCCGCCGCCGCCGCCGCCGCAGAGCGCTCCCGCCGCGCCGCCGAAACTCTCGTTCTCGCCGCGCAAGCTGAGCGTGCTGCAGGAGGAGCCGGCGGCGGCGCTGTGCGAGCGCTGCCAGCGCCGCGGACCGGCGCGCGCGCCGGCGCCGCGCTGCGCCCTCTGCTACACCGACCCGCGCCACCAGTGCGCCCTCTGCGCCGCCCACCAGCGCCGCCGACCCAGCGAGCCCTACCAGCGCGTGTGCAACCACAGCGCCGGGCCGCGCCGCCACAGCGCCAATCTCGAGTGCACGATGCGCCATGAGACGATGGACGGCCGGCGGCCGGCCAGCGGCTGGCACTGTCGCCTGGCGGCCGGCGACTGCCGCATCCCGCTCAGCCCGACGCGCTGCTGCGACGTGACCGGCGCCGAGTTCGGCTTCATCAAGGAGGTGGCACGCGAGGAGGAAGACGAGCCTGACGGCAGTACCCATGAGGAGGTCAGTGCGGGCCGGGGCGCTGGGCGTCGCGGGCGCCTTGGTCCATTTGAACAGTTCGAGGTCGATTTCTAGAGTTGGAAGCCCAACTTCCGGTCGTCGTTGCTATGCGCTGGTATGGGCCGTCCTGGTCTGCCAGGAGTGCTGTTTTTTAGTCACAGCGTCCCATGGCCATGCTGCAGCATTGTGTGGCGTGTCCCCTCCCCTCCCCTTCGCAGTCCTGTCCGACTTTGAAGGAAACCAAAATCAGCGGAGAATTATATATATATATATATATATATATATATATATATATATATATATATATATATATATATATATACTTCATTAACGCAACTTTTGTTGTACGCAAGGGCAAAGCACATTAATCAGTTTCTTGTGCGTTTGTTCGATGGAGCGAATGAAATGGGCTTCGTTGTTTCTGGTAAGTCATACACCAACACGCCTACAGTCAGTTTTTTAGTTTCAGCTAGCTAACGTTTCAAGGACCTTCGTTCCCCTTTCATCAGGCAATAAGAAGACGGTCGGACAGAAAACACCCGAATGTGGCAAAATACAAGGCATGCTTTGCGATCTTATACACGCTCACCCTGCTGTCATGGGGTGACTGAACATGTCCAAAGTAAAGCATAACTGAAGTTGTTTGTTGGATGCAGGCGTTATTTTCTCTGATGAGGATAGCTTCAAGAACTTATAGACGGCGTTTGTTGGGAGGTGATTTTAGAATCAGTGTGTTTTGTTTTTATTTGTGAGTTTTGGGCATATGCTGGTCTGACACTCCCTTCTGCAGGTGCATAGTCATGCGTCGTGATAGGGATGTCGTGGTCGTGCCAGTATAGGTAAAGTTGCGGAGCCGGTAGTCTCTGTAAGGGCACTTAGATTCATACACTATACTGGCGTGTTTTAGTTGGTTTTGGTCCGTTGTCAGGCTGTCTTTCATTATAAGGCTACTAGTTGTTCTGCCCTTGTAAAGGACGGTGAACCTTATTTCAGTGTTATCGCCAGTCGGTTTGATGTTTGTCTTGAATATGTTCCGTAAAACTTTTTCATCCGCCTTGTATGACGGGGACATTTGATTTCGATACAAGATTGATAGGGCCGGTTTCTTGTTGAGTAGTTTCCGGCTTCGTCGATTCAAGGTGGACTCAATCTCTTTGTCAATGGTGCTCTTCGAGCAGCCATTATTAACGAGCAATTGCTTACGCCGTTCAAGTTCGGGGTGCGTGGTGGACCTGCTGGAGCATCATTTCAGGGCACGTCGTACAAACGAACGTATGACGCCCCTGTAGTAACGCCCTGGGCATTCGCTAGCCGTAACCGCTCGGGTGCCTGTATGCAAATATGTACATGTGCTGGCTGGAGAGCTATGTCCTCAAATACCTTAACCTTAAACCGCACATACACTGCAGATATGTCGATGACATATTTGTTGATGTCAGAGAGGAGGCCCACCTCCGCTAACTGCAGGCCACCACGTAGCATTTATATATATATATATATATATATATATATATATATATATATATATATATACACACACACACACATATATATATATATATATATATATATATATATATATATATATATATATATGTGTGTGTGTGTGTGTGTGTGTGTATGCACATATGCTAGCATTCGTTCATGATGATAAATATCTCCTGACAAAGTTTGAAATCGGCGTGATGCGCGCTCCCCGAGCTCCCCTCTCTTCAACCTGGCTGCACCCCTGTTCCATGATATCCCACAGTAGCGACACTTCCGCCCGTTGTCACCGGAGAAGCCAGATAAACGATGCCGGTGATGCACGAGTGCCCATTCCATCACAGAACTTATTGTTTTGATGAATGCGATCTTCTTAATGATCCAGGCTGCCGCCGCTGAGGGCGAATGCTGAGTTAACGCATGCGTTATGGCCTATGGGGTCTATATTACATGGCCTCATGAGGCCACGTAATTTTGGATCGAGTATGCCCATCACTGGCATATCATTAGCCAAAAGCGCACGTGAGTTAATGACATAAAATCGAATACTCGTTAATGTACCGCTCGAAAGTTCATGCTGGTCACAGTACTTAACGCGAGGGTGCGCATTGACTTAGCAGCCGCCCTTGGGACCATGCTGAGTGATGTGACATGGTTATCTGAAATACACATTAGCAATAACAAACAATTAAGCACCAGTGAAATGCTCTGTATCGTGTCAATTGTGGTCATATCTACTTTGACCCACGTTGGTGGCGCCAGCCGCCTTAGCTCAGTGGTAGAGCACTGGTCTCGTAAACCAGGGGTCGTGAGTTCGAACCTCACAGGCGGCAACGTTTTCTGATGTATCTCGTTTCGAAGTATTGTCGCATTTCTTTACCACTCCGTCAGTATTGTTCTTTGTACGTCATTATAAGTTCAAGTTCTTGTATCGAGTTCCTGCTACTATATCAGACTGTCCGTTACTAAGTTACTATATTACTATGTTACCGTGTTACTATGTTAGACCGAAGATTTCCGAAATAGTTTCCGAGCGAATAGGCGTAGCCACGCAAATTTTTCCTTGCTGTAGACAATTGAATAGCGGATCGTTTGATATGAAAATTTACATGTTCAACTTACATGGAAGGCTGCTGACCTACGGCAGGCAAACTCAGGTCATTAATTCAGGCAGGACAATTTCTAGGAAATTGTTTAATCTGATGCAATCACGTGGTGTTAGACGAAGTCATGCATCACAAATGAATGGCCAAATTTTGCTGACTTAGGGTAAGGAATTAAGACCAGAACAAAGATAAACAGCAATCTATGTCATTACTTAAGAGCTTGCTGTGCAGAGTAATTTTTATTGCTCATTTCAAATGTATTGATAATATGTACCGCATCAGACATCTTGGCACTTATTAAAGTCCTATGGACTTATTAAAGGTCAGGGTAGGTCACTGACTTAAAGTGACCCAGGTCAACATTTTTTTTTTAGGAACATCCTGCCTAGCGTAATTATTGTGGCTTATTCAAATTCATGCCCTGCGGAAGGTCAAACAGGGTCACCGAACTTGAATGAGCACAGGTGACCTTTTGCTTAGAACATGTGTCTAGGTTCTAGGGGCACTTTATACACCAATCTAAAGTTTACCTTCTTCGACCTTATTTGACCCCAAAGTCATAAGCTAGGAATCCCAAAACCTTTATACAAGTGAGTTCATTTACAGGTCAACACACCCTGTGAATTTGGTGTCTCTAGATTTTTAAATTTCTGAGGTCTCAAAAGGGGTCAAATTGATTTCCACCCGAGAAAAGGGTATTCCACCGACCAGCCGGGCCTGTTCAACGACCATCCTTTGAAGATACACAACCAATATGCAAGGTGAAGGATACACAATCAATATACCATCGTCAGTAGAAATGCTCATTTAAACTGCATATATATTTGCCAAATATGTGAACTAAACACTCTAGTATAATTCTGTAACTGCTAAATTGGTGCCGTCAACAGAGTTGTTATTTAGCACAAAAGTATCGTTTAACGTGCGCCTCCTGCCTCCTGGTATATTGAAGTTCGTTAACTCGACATGAAAAACTTAAATAACATGAAAGTGTGAACCCTAAATCCCCCAAACCGGGAGCTGAAAGCCTTTTCTATATGGAGCACTTCTTTGGCGCCTTTCCTGCTAGCATGGGAGTTTAGGTCGCCAGGTCGCTGGGTGGGGGGTTCGCATCACGGTAAGCGTCGCATCGCGGGGTCGCAGACTGGAACATGGAACAGCGGACAGTCTGAGCTCCGGCGACAGCCTGGAACATGGAGCAGCCGACAGTCTGAGCTCCAGCGACAGACTGGAACATGGAGCAGCCGACATTCTGAGCTCCAGCGACAGACTGGAACATGGAGCGGCCGACAGTCTGAGCTCCAGCGACAGACTGGAACATGGAGCAGCCGACAGTCTGAGCTCCAGCGACAGACTGGAACATGGAGCAGCCGACAGTCTGAGCTCCAGCGACAGACTGGAACATGGAGCAGCCGACAGTCTGAGCTCCAGCGACAGACTGGAACATGGAGCAGCCGACAGTCTGAGCTCCAGCGACAGACTGGAACATGGAGCGGCCGACAGTCTGAGCTCCAGCGACAGACTGGAACATGGAGCAGCCGACAGTCTGAGCTCCAGCGACAGACTGGAACATGGAGCAGCCGACAGTCTGAGCTCCAGCGACAGACTGGAACATGGAGCAGCCGACAGTCTGAGCTCCAGCGACAGACTGGAACATGGAGCAGCCGACAGTCTGAGCTCCGGCGACAGACTGGAACATGGGGCAGCCGATAGTCTGAGCTCCAGCGACAGACTGGAACATGGAGCAACCGACAGTCTGAGCTCCGGCGACAGGTCGCGTACACAGCAGCGACAGTGAAGCAATATTTGGGCGACACAACGGAAAACAAAACATTACGGACAAAGTTTAGCTCGGCGCAGGCGCGTCAAATTTCTTTATGGCGCAAAAGAACTGAACTTTGCAATTGTCAACATTCATTCATGTGCATCGGCGTATACTTCAGGGCAAGTCCTCCTCCTGCGCCGGCTGTGTGCGGAGCTCTTTCCCGTAGACGAACTAGAACCAAATGTCGCATCGTCTGGCCAGTGGCCACCCTCTGTCATTCTCAACATTCCGTAAGTTGTTCCGTGAATAAGTAAGGAGTATTATTCACATAAATCAGACAATAGTATTAGCCTTATTTCTCGGAAAAAGCAGAAGAATGGGGCATAGTTGGGTTGATATTTGGGCAACATCCCGTAATCGAAACATTACCAGAAGTATCATCAGGTCGGCTGGGACCTGCGGCTCGGTGCGAGACATCGAATAAAGTAATAGAAACGCCCCTCCTATTGTTTCGATGAAAGGCATGTTGCCGGAATATCAACCCAACCATATCTCCATTCTCCCGTTTTTTTTCCGAGGAATAAGGCTATACTACTGTCTTATTCCCAACATTCCTCTGGCGTCGCCGTAAAGCCTGCGGTGGCCAACTATAAACTGCAATGTAGTGTCCATCATTCCCAACACCGCAGCCCGTCGTGTTAGCCATTTCATGAGTGCCTTATCAGATGCCGCCATTCCAATAACTCCTTACATAAAATCCTGACTTTGCGGTGTGCCTGCGTGTGCTATGCGCGCCAGCCGGATTTTAATTTACTGGCCAATATTGCCCATAGCGCTTTTTATTAATGTTGACGTCCCTCTCGTGCTGGGACTTTGTGTTATTTACTCATTTTGAGGACAACTGTGTCGCATGATGCTACTAGCCCGTGTGTGCTCTTCCACCATCTCGTGCGCTCTCCCACCATGTTATGTGTCTTGTTCCTTTCGTAGTGTGATCGGGCATATCCTGCACTGCATCTTAACACTTGTGCCTCTGACACCCCGCTGGGCTGTTCGTTCCTCTACATTCCACTCTCGTCTGACATATCAGCCTGCCATAAATCCCGGCCGACTCTTGTCTGACATATCAACCCGACATGAGTCCCGGTCGACTCTTGTCAGACATATCACCGAAACATGAATCCCGACCGACTCTCGTCTGACGTATCAGCCCGACATGAGTCCCAGTCAAGTCTTGCCAGACAAATCACCGAAACAGGAATCCCGACCGACTCTCGTCTGACATATCAGCCCGACATGACTCCCAGTCGACTCCTGCCAGACATATCACCGAAACATGAATCCCGACCGACTCTCGTCTGACATATCAGCCCGACATGGGTGCCAGTCGACTCTTGTCAGACATATCACCGAGACATGAATCCCGACCGACTCTTGTCTGACGTATCAGCCCGACATGAGTCCCAGTCGACTCCTGCCAGACATATCACCAAAACATGGATTCCGACCGACTCTCGTCTGACCTATCAGCCCGACATGAGTCCCAGTCGACTCCTGCCAGACATATCACCAAAACATGGATCCGACGATTCTCACTGACCTATTCAGCCCGACATGAGTCCCAAGGTGACTCCCTGCCAGACATATCACCAAACAGGATCCCGACGACTCTTCTGCTATCCCCGACATGACTCTCCGTCGACTCCTGCCAGACCAATCACCGAAACAGAGGACTCCCTGACTATCACCCACATGCTCCCGTCGCTCCTCAGACATATCACGCCGAGATCCACGGACTTCTTCACCACTACTTACATCATATCAGCTTGACGTGAGTCCCGGCCAGACATGAGTCCTTCCGCACTCCAATTCCAAAGAGCCGACTCTCTTCCGGTAATCACCATGACATCAGTCCCGGTCGACTCTCTTCTGATACATCATCATGGTACAAGGTCCGACTGCCCGTCGCGGGACCTCTCACCATACCTTGGGTCGTGATCTCCGACCGACCCGCATCAGGTCTCCCTCTGCGCCGAGGGCCAGCTGCCCGTCGCGGGACACCTCGCCATACCTTGGGTCGTGACCTCCGACCGACCCGCATCAGGTCTCCCTCTGCGCCGAGGGCCGGCCGCACTCTCATTTCACATTCCCACCACCTGACCCCGCCTAGTGCTGCCCCGACGCTCAACGCGTCGTGTCTGTCGCAGCCGACCGATGACAAGACGATCCTGCTGGCTGACGGCTCCCGGTACAACACGGACGTGCTGCTGGCCGACCCGCTGCTGGCCAGAGCCCACGTCTGGGATTACCCCATCTTCGACCTGGAGCGCCAGGCCGGCACCCACATGCTCAGCCAGGTATGCGGGCCGGCCCGCCCCGAGGGGGCAGACGGGTCCGGTGGCAAGGACGGACCAGAGGGTCCGAAATAGCGAGCGCGCGAAATGAACTCATTTAGGAAGTCAAGAGTAGCTGCGCCGCCAAGCGTGGAATCCTTCCCACCGCGCAGTCCAGACACCTGTATAGGATGAGGTTTAACACATCTTCAACGCAGAGTGAGCGTTGTCGAAGGCGCTGGCTAAAACGCGTTTTGTCGATGTTCAACCTTCAAAAACATAGCGGGCAAGCCTGTCGCAAACAACATACATCTCGTCAGCTATATTGTGCTGCTGTTTGAAAGGAGGTTGGCGCCGGATTACCGCCCGGAGCAATTTGTGCGCTGAATCAGGCCGCCTGAACCAGACGAGGAGACATTCTGTGTCAGTATTGCTATCCTTTGATCGAATGTTATCATTGTATCGCTAGAAAGGTTTTTTCTGTGAGTGGCGGTTTTGAATGAGTTTTTTTTTTCTTGGAAAACGGCATGCTGTAACGACGGAACTTTATTTTGCAGATGTGCTACCGAATTTTCCACGACACCGGACTGTTGGAGACGTTTCGTATTCCTCTGCAAGAGTTCTTCGACTACTTCCACGCCCTCGAAATGGGATACCGAGATAAGCCATGTGAGTGACTATGTTATGCTTACAGGGAGCTCAGGTGCTCACCCTCGCCCGCTGTCCTATGTACGAACGGGATTGAATAGCGATCCATTAGGGGTATACAAGACAGCTTCACAAAAACTGTTACGTGCACCCGGCCTGTTCCATGCAGTAAGAAAATATTTGAGGTCGAGGCAGCGTTTGAGTCCCGCTGGTAGGCTGATGATAATGATAAGTTGAGTCAGGCAAGCACTTTCTATGATATACATCAGACTCCAGCGGCGTGTTGCTTCGTTTTCCACAGACCACAACCGAATGCACGCCACAGATGTACTGCAGGCCGTGTATTACCTGACATCACAGCCGATCCCCGGCTTCCAAGTGCTGCCAGAAGACGACGCCGACTCAGACAGTCAGTGATGAAAACCTCTGCATTCTCACAACATTGTTGCTGCGTCCTTTTTAAGAAAGCAGACACCCGTCCCCCGGCTGTCTCACTGTCCACAACCAACTGTAAATGGTTACATTACGTTCAGTGGGCGAAGTGGTGGAAAGAACTGCTTAAACCTCTGGATGATCTCTTCCGGGACTGCGCATATGCGCGAGCTATATAAAAAACATACCTTTATTGTTATGTGTCTTCTCATTGGCATAGTTGAGCTCTTCCCATTTTTCCGTTCATCGCACCGGCAAATATTGGTTAAGGAAGCAAATTATGCTTACACATAAGAGTAGATGAATCAATTAACTACAAGTGGAATATTAAGAACTTTGTAATCTTCATGCTGGCAGCTGACAAACGTGCTACCATTCACTTGCAAGGCTGTCTGTGTCCACTACGGCGCCTCCCGGCTGTTGAGGCGATGCACTGGGCCGTGCGGAGTGGGCCGGCCGCTGACCTCGGCTGACCTCGGCCGGCACCTCGTCTGCAGAGGACGAGCCGTACCGGAGTCCGGAGCGAGGCCGGCGCCAGACGTTCGTCGCCGAGGAGACCTACGGCGTCATGGGCGCCAACATCCCGGCGCTGGAGCTGATGGCGCTCTACACGGCGGCCGCCATGCACGACTTCGACCACCCGGGCCGCACCAATGCCTTCCTCGTCACCACCGTGTCACCGCAGGTAAACGTTCGTGGCCGCACCCCGGTTCAGTCTGTGTCAAACCAGGTCAGGTCACACGGCGTCGCTGCGGCGTGAGCACGCGTGCCTGCTCATTGGTCTCTGATCTCCTGTCTGCGTCAGAGCAGGCTTAGGCATGCTGCAATGCTGGACGTTCCCCTGGATTATCTTCTCTCTCCTCGTCCTGGCAATGGTCAGATGTTCTTCATAGGACCGCACGGCGCCATCGGAAGTCAGAACAGTCATCGCGATACACTCGTATGACAAGAGTTGCATCGCAATTCCCCCGCGTCCATGCTTAACACTTGTCGGCACTCGCCTGGTTCAGGTCAGACCTCCTTGCCCCCTTCAGATCAGGTCATCCTCTCCCGTGCCGCTGTGATAGCTCCGGTCACCAAGCGACCGAGCCATCGTGAGTCACTGCCCACCCTGTGGTAGGCCCGCCTTGCCGTGACCACCCAGGGGTCATCCCAAGTCTGGCGGCGCCACTCCGCACGCATCCAGCCCGAGGGCTGGATGCGTGCAGAGCTGTGGTTGTGCTAAAAAAAAAAAAAACACCACGGGGCTGGCTGCATGCCGACCGAGATTGGATTTGTATGCTTCCCATGTGGCGTGGCGGAATAATCTGAATGTCAAGACAACGTGGTCGGCCATCCACAACATCCGGAACGTGTCGGGCGCGGAGGTGTCCATGTCTTAATTTGTGAAAAATACACACCGAATCTGGATACAAATCCGAGAAGAGCATGCTGCCGACTCCCGACTTAATGCGTCGATGGCTGCCACCTTCGCCTGCGGACACCCCTTTCCGAGCACTATTTTTGAAGCTTCGTAAAAGCATAGAGAAAAAATAGCCCCGCAGTGGAAGGAGACAACATCAAAGACCCCTTCCGTCTTTGATCTCGTGCCGCCCTGACTTCGTTCATCTTTGTGTGCTCCGGTGTGTCAGCGTTGATTTCTCCACGGTGTTTTACGGTTTATTTTTCAGCAAGTAATGCTGTGACAGACAATAAACCACACAATGATCTCTGAGCCGCTAGTACGCTATCATTCTCGGATGGCTTTCCTTAGCACTGCCTCGGGAGCGCTTTTCCATGCCAGCCTGTTCTGGATGTCTGCAGGCCGTGCTCTACAACGACCGGTCTGTTCTGGAGAACCATCACGCCGCGGCCGCCTGGAGCCTCTTCCTGACGCGGCCCGAGCACAACTTTCTCTGCCACCTGGAGAAGTCGGAGTTCAAGCGCTTCCGCTTTCTCGTCATCGAGGCGATTCTGGCCACGGACCTGAAGCGACACTTCGAGATCCTGGCTGAGTTCACGTCCAAGGTACGGCGGGCTTCAGCTCATCGCGTGACGTCAAGCTTGCTTCGGCGACCACCATGCCTGACCTTTACTTCGTAAACTTTTGGTGGTATGCTCCTACTGCATAACTTTGCTTGACCCTGGGGGGGGGGGGGGGCATGTCACTGCCCATGGTGGCCAATGAAATGTTAAACGAAGCATATGTTGCTGATCTGCCGATCGCGGAATATTTGCAATAGTTACGTCTTGAAAACACCGTGCTGTTCGTTCCTGATGGGTGGAGAAGAGAGAGAGAGAGAGAGAGAGAGAGAGAGAGAGAGAGAGAGAGAAGAGAGAGAGAGAGAGAGAGGGAGAGAGAGAGAGAGAGAGAGAGATAGAGAGAGAGAGAGAGAGAGAGAGAGAGAGAGGAGAGAGAGAGAGAGAGGAGAGAGAGAGAGAGAAGAGAGAGAGCGAGAGAGAGAGCGAGAGAGAGAGAGCGAGAGAAGAGAGAGAGGAAACAGAAGGAGAGGAGAGAGAGAGAGAGGAGAGAGAGAGAGAGAGAGAGAGAGAGAGAGAGAGAGAGAGAGAGAGAGAGGCTAACGTCCCAATAGGTCTTGGCCGTGTCCCCACATTCATGTGATGATAACACTTGAGGTAATTCAAATGGTGTTTCAAAAATTCAGACATTCAAACTGAGCAGTTTGCCTGTGCAGTGAACAGCGAGCTCCTCTGCTGCTTGAAATTCCTGCTTTCGGCCAATAAACGTGAGCAACTTGGTCTCCGAGCTCCCTCACCAACCCCGCAAGTCTAACTCTCAGTGTACTCTGAGCAGTTCTGAGCCTCTGTTTACAGTGATGTTTATTATTCTGTTCTTCCGCCAGTTCCTGGAGCGAGAGCCAGCAGCGAGTTCTCCGTAATTAGTGGCCTCCAAATTGCCAGTTGCCTGACTTGTCTGTTGCTTGCTCCTGACGTCGCTGTTTCTGCCGTGGTGCTGGAGTTCGCCGACGGCGTGTGTCCTTACAGTTCCCGGACTTAACTTTGTAAGTACTGCTGGCGCGGAGCTCCACCTCAGGCGAAGCTTCCCAGCCGCTTCTAGACGCTGATTTTCACCTCCCGCAGTGCCGGGACTCTGTTGGTACCGACTGGCGCTCGGAGACGGACCGCCTGCTGGTCATGGAGATGGCCATCAAGCTAGCAGACATTAACGGCCCCTGCAAGGATTTTCCGCTGCACTACCAGTGGACGCAGCGCATCGCTGAAGAGTTCTACGAGCAAGGTTCGGTGCAGGACACGGAAGGGCCTGCGGGCCGACAGTGTGCTGGAGTCGTAGGGCGTCTCTTGAGAGGATGGTTGAACATACGTGAGGCTTGCCAGGTGTAGTGAGGATGCTCTCCCCTTGGTGGTGAAACCTATTGATTGCCAACTGAGTGGGAAGGCACGTCACAGTGTTCTGTGTTCTGGGCATGTGTGCTGCGTGCAGGACAGACGGAGTTTATCAGCTTCATTATGTCACGTGGTCCTGGGTCGTATTGTTTTACGATGCAGACGATCAACCGTGAAAACATAGATTCGTTTTCAAAGTAAATGTTGCAACATATTGAACTTCGAGAGAACATATTTGGGCATTTTCAAGAGTTTACAACGTCTGCTGCCATAAAGCACAAGGATGTGGGCGTGTTATCACAAAGCTAAGCAAAAAATGTTTTCAAAGGGTAGTTTACGTGCAGTACAGTGCGTAGTTGTATTCCGGGGAAAATTTGCTGTTCTCCGTCCAGCCCAGGGCGACAAACCTCCGACGCCTCTCACTCTGCTCGCACTGACCGGCTCCGCGCGCCGTGCAGGCGACGAGGAGCTGGCGCTGGGACTGCCCGTGTCACCTTACATGGACAGGAAGAACCCCCAGCTGGCCAAGCTGCAGGAGTCCTTCATCAACCACTTGGTCGGGCCCATGTGCAACGCCTACTACGAGTCGGGACTGATGCCGGGCATCTGGGTGGAGAACGGTGGGTGGATTGGGGGCGCCGCTCGTCCTGAGCTCGTTTTTGGGGAACGGTGGGTGGACATTGGGCGCCACTCGGCCGGAGCTCGATGGTGGAGAACGGTGGGTGGACTGGGAGTGCCACTCGGCCGGAGCTCGATGGTGGAGCGTAGTGGGTGGACTGGGGGTGCCACTCGGCCGGAGCTGGATGTTGAAGAGCGGTGGGTGGATTGGGGGCGCCGCTGGGTCGGAGCTCGATGTTGAAGAATTGTGAGTGGGTTGGGAGCGTCGCCCATCCTGATTTCGATGTTGGGGAGCGGTGGGTTGACCTTGGGTGCCGCCCGGCTGGAGCTCGATGGTGGAGAACGGCGTATGGACTGGGAGCGCCGCTTGGCCGGAGCTCAGTGGGATGGCACATGGATGTCGTGTGTGTCATGTGTGTGTCATAAGGCTTTGCGACGCACTCAGCTGCTGAGGCAAAATGGCGTCGCCTGGCCCTCACACTGGCAGAAAGGGCGGGCACCGCGGGGAATCGAACCCCGTACCTCTGGTTTCCCAGACGCGCAGTGGTTAACGCAGACGCGTTAACCCCCCCCCCCCCTCGTCTCGTCCTCCTTAACCCCCACCCCCCCACCCCCACCCCCCATGCTTGTCCTCGGAGAGCGAAACTGTCCGAGTGACACGTGAGAGCTCCCTGACAGAAGTGGCTCTTGGTCCATGTAGCTATGAGGGCCTCTGTATTTGCTAGCATATCAAATTACACGGGTGACACAAAATTGTTGTACGGTATAACCTGTCCACTTTTCAACGCACCACCTAGATATCTCATCTGTTGGACTTGCTGCTGGAATCCCAGCGGTCGCGACCTGCGATGACCTGACCCGAGCTGACCCCAATCGGCGTGGGCCGCAGACGGCTCGGACGAGAGCAGCTCGTGCCCGTCCGACTCGGACGCGGAGGACGAGGAGGAGGACCAGGAAGCACCGTCCGCTCGGCGCAAGAACGTGTTCTGCATCCAGACGGAGCACCTGATGGCCAATCGGGCCCGCTGGAGCGATGTGATCAAGGTGAAGATGCCTTCCACCCCGTGTCGCTACTAGGCTCTCATCCTCACACAGAGCGGCGTTGCGCGGCGTTTGGGTCTGAGCGAGAGCTTGAAGCATTTTGAGCGGACTGTAACGTTCTCTGTGTGTTCCGGTTGCTCTGGGCGTCCTGTTCTATATGCCGGGACGATAGCTGAGGCTGCGGGCCAGCCACTGGCTCCGAGCAGTGCGTTGGCAAGGCTGAGATCAGCTCGCTGTCAATCAGAACTTTACAAGACTGCATTGGTGCAGGATGGTCCGGCTGTTTCCGCGTCCTAAGACTAAAAATTAACAAACACCGGACCGCAGCAGCTTCCTAAGGAAATAATTTGACGAATGGCAATCCTTTCAAATTCCGTCAGGCGGCGTCTAAGACGACGTTTCGCGAGTTTTCCGGGAAAAATGACTGTTTATTCTTCTCGTGTTATTTAGCCAATGTTATTATTCCGGCTTACCTGTGCATCGCCCGCCTTATTACTCGCTGAGGCAGAGCTAATGAGCTCCGTCCTCGATCGCACTGTGCTGCATTGCAAATCGACGCGCGCACTCGCACCGATGGCCGACGTCGCCTGGTGAGCCGCTCCGACCGCAGCCTAAAGGCCGGCCGACGGGTGAGGCAGCGTGTCGTGCGGTATGCCCGGCAGGAGGAGCAGTCGGCACGGGACGCGTCGGCGTCGGCGTCGGCGGCTCCTTCGGCCTTCTCCGACCGTCCGGAGGAGGTTGGCTCTGAGAGCTCGCTCCAGGAGGAGACGGCTGACGAGATGGAGACGATCGCCGAGGAGCGCTCGCCCTCGCCCCACTCGCGACGCTTCAGCTACGTTAGTGTTGCACCCGCCGAATCACAACCGTCACCATCACCACCACTGATCATCGTCGTATCATCAGCATGCATTTGAGTAGCATCCACTGCATGCGAAACACGCCATGTTTCTAATCACTGCACTGTTATAAGCTTCGGACCAACGCAACGTCGCCAAGATAAATGCGAAGAAAAAGACGGAAAAATCAATAAGGCGCCAAGCATCGCAGCTAGATGCATGACCCCATTTGAGCAGGCGGATCAATGCCAGAGCACAACGGTCGGGGGTGGAGAGAGCGCCAATATGCGGCTTAAGCTGCGGTAGTGATGCGCCCGGAAAGTCTTCGGGACTCAGTGGGTCGGCGTCGGGAGAGAAGAGATGGAACTGAGCAAGGCTCCATCTACTTAAGTGTTTCTTACCGGAGCAAAATAAGAACTAATAATTGAAAGACAGGGACGCGACGGGCACACGGGCAGGCTGCAGGGTAGAAAGTGACATTGGTTTTATCCTCTTTGTGTTTCCATCATCAATCCATCATGCTAGCCCATTAAGTCAACAGAGTGGTCACGTGACCACTGGTCAGTCAGGAGTGGTCAGAGTGGTCAGAGTGTTGAGTGGTCACGAACGAGAAAAGCCTCCAGAATGGCGAGTTTTTTGCTGTTTTTTTTTCTTTCCCAACAAAGGTCCCAGGGTTCGTTCTGTATCCAGCATTGGTGTAACACCATCCTTGTATCGACGCCTCTTAGTGCACCTCACGTAAAAGGTACCAAGAGACCACATGCAGCACATGTATAGTACTCGTCTCACACACCAAATGCTCACACAAAACACCGAAATTTTAACATTTGCAAACGACACCAGAAAGCCCAACAATCTGGAAGCTTTGCTTATTCATGACCACGTACCAGTGCTAAGCAAATAAATTCATCAAACGTTTGAATGATCTTTTTGGAGCAGCATCGCCAGTAAATCACACAGACAAGAAACATGACACTGATGAAATCACACGGGGATTAGGGGCCATTTGCACGTTGTGTTGCGATCTGTCGCGTTGATGGCGTAGGGTCGCAGCGTGTGATGTCAATACCTCCTTCTGCACGGCCAAGGGGTAATTTGTTTTTGCCAGGACATAGCGGTGGTGAGTGTAATCCCATGTGGTGTTATTTTTTGCTTGTATGCTGGTGTGTCACGTTACGAGATCACGCGGTTTCGTTTGCATATTGCCGACACGGGATGAGCTAGCTGCTTTTGAGAATGGACATGGGGTGTATCTGAAACGTTAACACAGGATTATGTCGGAGAATTACACATGCCTTTTGGTGGGCTACTTTATAGGCTACCAGCATACTTACTTAACCCATTTTTTACTTCCAGTACGTACGTTTGATATCTACATCGCAACTTTTTTGTTTTTTCGCATGCCTTATATCCAGCTGTTTTCACTTCTTTGTCATTTATTGTATATTCATAGACTGCAGACCGCGGGAAGCCTGTTCGCGGAAAGCGGTCCGCTATTACATCGAATAATCATTTACTTTTTCTGTCTGTCGTTGATTGGGTTTACTTGGCTTACGAGTATGTGTGTATTGGTGTAGTCTCTAAAAGCAAGCGTGTTGGTATCACTTTTCAGCCTGTCAGCGGTCATATTCTTCCACAAAATCACGTAAACGCTTACGTCATTCCCCCGATGGTGTCAGTGCTAAGTGGAAACTGCGGACCGTCATTGCTGGCATGTACACGCTACTGATCAAATAAAATGGTTTTCATGGGAGGGGGCATTATTGGGGCTTCATTAAAAGCTAGGTGCTGCTTGCTCTGTTCGCCTCTGTCCTGTCCCACCGTCGTGACAAGTTATGTTTTACAGGACCAAGATTCGAAACTATGATTAGTGCGAACTTTCGTTAGCGGCATTTCCAAGTGGTTCTCCAACCGCCTTCGACCACGAGCGGTCGGGGCCTTCACCGCGTCCACCTCGGCCCCCGAGACCACGGCGACCGCCCGGCCTGCCACCTCTCAGCGACTTGAGTCAAGTGCTAGTGCGTGCGTCAGCCGCCGCGAGCGCTCGAGACGCACCGGGTTCGTGCGGACACGCGCCGCTGACGAGAGTTTGTGATTTTTGACAAAACATTGGGCCAGCTTATGCGCTGGCTGATATGGACTACGAACTGCGGTGAACACAGCATGGCTTTTAACAGCCAGTTATCCCAGACAGCCGCGGAGGGTGCGCTGCAGACTTCCCGAAATGTACGTAAGAGCTGTTATTCGAGTTTGTTTCATGATGCGCTGAAAAGGCGAACGTTGTGATCTTAGCGACGGGCAAGTGTGTTCCATATTGAATCTTACGATCCGTTCAGATAGAGTGCCAGAATGCCCCTAAACTCAGGTGATCTGGTTATGGTGTTCTCGTTACGAGCTTGATGGCGCGTTTCCACTGAAACCCAGTCTCGCTGATCTGCCCAGCAGGCGTCATGTCCAAGCGAATCTCCTCACAACGAATTCATTCAGAACGCAAGAATCTCGGGAACAGCAACAAAAGCCGGCCGATGTGTGATTATGCGTGTGCTGTCTTCACATCATGATTCCTCCATTTCTGAGTGTCGCTTTCGATGCCATGCCGCGCATAACTAACAGGACCGCTTGGTGGGCGGCGACTCCAGAGCAGACGAGCACGGCTCGTGATGCTGTCACGCTTCATGGACGGAGCTGCCTATATCTAACGATGCCATACACATGTCAGCGGCCCAGCGACGGGTGGCCGGGCGCCGTGAAGCCATGGTGACGGCGCGGCTCGCTGCCGCGTGCCGGCCTCCGGGCCGTTTCTATCGATGTCCTCGTTTGTTACATATTGATGTACGCTTATCGGTGTCCACCGTCGGTGTAGTTCTGCGTGTCTGTTCAGACTGGAGACGTACAAAGACGGCAGCCGTGCGGCCAGAGCGCAGCGGCCGGGCGCGCCGCGAGCGTGCCCGCTGCGCCGCCCGCCGAGCCGGCGCCTCGCCCGGCGCGCAGCGAGCGCCGCCGCGCTAATACATGTGACGTACACCGCTCTCCCGCTCTCTCGCGTCCTCGGATGGCGGCGCCAGGTCCGGGAGATGACGTCAGCCAGGGTCTGGGCGGGGGGGGGGGGGGGTGGTTTGACAGGTACGACGCGGCCTGTCTCCGTGTCGGCATCGCCGGCTGGTGCGAGAAAAACACTAACGCCGACCTCCGCCGGCGGAGCGTGCGCCCGCCTGATGGCCGTCAATTGACGTCGGATTTTTTCCTCCTAGTGACGGCCGCACGATGTTGGTGTAAGGGGCTTTAATTAAAGGCAGTGCTCTACATCTATATGGGGGGTTTAAACTGAAATAGCCAGCTTGAAGATCAGTTCGTGCCATTCACAGTCCTGCGCCTCTTAAGACCCGGGCAACTCCAGTTTCTGGGCTACATACCTGCAAAGATGTGCACACTTTTTCGGGGAGACTGTTACAAGGTCACCGAGTTAGCCATGACGTCATAATAGCGTCATTCAAGCCATGCCATTCCACAGGACATACGGCGGTCAAGGCCAGGAATTTTATTGTATTTCACTTGAGTATTTCACTTGGAATGCAAATTTGGAAGTGCAAGTATGCTACAAATAGACCAAACACGCGTTATCTGGCAAGCATTATTGAACATTGTCAGATTTTTACAGTGGTGTCCTTCACGAGATCATCGTGGTCTGAAAGCTAGAGCTGGATGCCTCCGTCCCTGTGCTTAGCGCCTCAACACGCACTGGCGAGGCACGAGCAGGTGTGGGCCATTCTAGAACTTGAATAAATGCGTTCATGTTTAGGGTGTTAGCGTGGAGGCGCTTTGCTGGGCAGATGAACGCTCATCATAAACGTTAAATGCCGGACACCTGAATTATACGCGAGGTGGAGAGATATGTTAATAACTTTTGCTCTACGCATCACAGGCTTTTCAAAGTTAGCATTTCGAATAAGTTGTGCCTCTGCAGTCATGTTCCCTTGCGAATTTCTGCGTAAGCCCTGGCTCGTCGGTACCATTTTGAGTGAAACGTAAGTGATCAACGCAAATTGTTTCCTACACATGCGCCAGAGCTGAATGGAGCTGGTTGCCGTTATGTCGGTGGTTGGTTCACGGACTGACCTGGTTGTAGATATGTGCCAAAATTGCAATCATGCGGAAACATCGGCAGGAAAAGAGGCCAGGGATTCTCGGTAGTAAGTCATCTTGGGTTGGAGTGGGAGGCGAGGAAGCGGGAGCATGGACACCATCGTCAGCAGCAACACGGGTCTTGCCGTGTTGCTGTGTGGTGGCGGTGGCACCCTCCATCCCCCTGACGCTATCCACTTCTTCTCCACCTAAAGATGGCCTATTGTCAAAAAGTCGCGAGCCTGTCTCCCTGCCGCACACTTTCTTCGTCATCTTCGTGCCTTCAGTACGCCTCTACAACTAGGTCAGTATGTAATTACATCCACATTATAAGGGCACGGTTAGTCACCACTTCGATTCAGCCTTCTGAAAAACACGTTGTACACAAAATGTCTTCTGAGAATTGAAAAATATAGACCAAAATATAACCTACGGTGAAGGACATCATTTGTTTCCGCTCTGCTTCGGCTTTTGTGGAACCATAACTAATGGCCTCATCAGTATATAAGCCCTTTTTACTGAAGCATTGAATACCAGTGATGCCACAGATTGCATGATGGGGTTCTAAAAAAACACTACATAAAGCTACCGAAAACCATAATGGTTGTAATCCGCTTCCGATTCCCGCGACATATCACTTCCCACGCTGGAAACAGATGACGCTGCGTTTTCTGTAAGCATCGCGGCTGTTTTGCAGTGTTTTCTGCAAGCATCGCGGCTGTTTTGCAATGTTTTCTGTAAGCATCGCCGCTGTTTTGCAATGTTTTTGATATGTTGGCGAGCGTTGCGTGTTTTTGCATGCGTTTGTATACGTAAGCTAATGAAGTTTGCCTGGTAACAATAGCGTGCTTTTCGTATTTCGAAGACAAAATTGGATAGAGCAATAAGCTGCAAGATGTTCCTTTACAACGATCGTCAACAATCTGGTTGCGATTGTTCCATTCAGACCAGCAGGATTTACACAGATTATACCTCTCAGCCGTCAACATAGAGCTACGTCATATTAAAGTGTTTTAAATCTGAACACGTTCTCAGAAACAGCAAGCATCGGATTTTCCCGCCAGCCCCTTCCAAGCAGCGTGGCGTCATCAGTCATCACGTCATCACTTACTGATGACTTCGGTGTACCGCAGTCAAACGAGATCTTGCTTTTAACCTGTCGGCTGGAGTTGAAATGCGGATTGCGCCAACGCGGCGAATATGGCAAAATAAATCCCGAGTCACTCAACTAGTATCTCAAACAGCTGCCAAACAGGGATTCATTGATCTTCTGATGAGCCCACGGCCGGCGAGCGCATTTCAGCGGCGTTGGAAGAGGCTCACGCGGAGACGGGCCACACTTCGTGCAGCGGTGTGATGTTTTCCATCCCTCCGCCTTGAAGCCAAATCCTCGGGATATTACGTCACCGCCACGTGCCGGATGTTCCCTGAATAGTTGAGCGGTCGATGACGTGAGGGGTGTCGTGGGTTCGAGTGCTTCCGGCTGGCGCGGCGGACGGGTTGAACCGGAATCTGGGAGGCTTTAGCTTTCGGCGCTGCTTGCAACATGTCGGCACAGAACCTCTCCGACTCTGCGGGCGAGGATGCCGTCGCACACCACTATCGAGCAAAACACACGTTCTAGTTCAGTCCAGGGCGCTTGGCTGATGCTCCGTTTAGTGCGCTTCACGTGTAACGTCACCTCCGCGTACGAGAATGCCTCTGACAGGCTTGCGCTTGATCACGGGCAGGTTCGTAGTCGAGTCAGTACTCGGACTATCGGCGGGTAATGGTGGAACCAAATCCTCCGGCAACTTGTGTCAATGGAATGATTTACAAGTATTTCTGGTATCATTTTAATAATTACTATTTTGCTAATTATTCACGGGATTATTTCCCTGTACGGTTTTACCTAGCCTTATGAGGTGGAATCATCGGGCCACAGAAATAGAAGCGCACGTGACTACGAATATATTCCTTTGACGGCTGTCTTATATTTGCCACAAATGGGGCACTGGATAACTTGCTCAAAATCTCCTTGTGCTGTTTGGGTGTCGCAACCCATATAAATCGCTTAATGCCTGAAACTGTTCTCACAGAAACAATTGATTGCATCGAAATCTATTCCGAAATCCAGCCACATCGCCGAAATCAGAGAACTCAAAAATGAGCCATGCGGAACTGAGCACAAGTCTGGACACTGGAAGTCAGAAGGAATCCAGGACGGTCGCAACGTCGCGTCCTGTTCTTTCCTGGGTGCGTCGCAACGATTTCGGATAAGGAACTTTCCAGAGCAGGACTTCACAGGTTGGGTTTTTTGTATTATTGTCCCTATGGAATCCGAAGCGAATTTAGACAAGGCGGTAGTAATAGCCTTATTCTTCGTAGAACAAATAAACAGCAGAATGGAGAGATACACGCCTTGATATTTCGGCAACATGTTTTCATCGAAATGAATATCAGTAGTTAATTCAACATTCCCTGCCGATGCTATTCCATTTTTCAGTTCCCTTTTTGAAACAGCAAACCACAGTTTTTACAGGTCATCAACATTCAGGGGATCAAAGAGAGAGCAATTGCTAGCCATTACAGCTATAAAGTGCACACCTTACTAACAATTGAAAAAGACACGAAAAATACGTGTGCACGCAAACGAATTCAAATAAACAGGTACCACGCGTTACGTTCCATTTCAAGCATGCAAGCGACTTTAAGTAAACAGGCATCACGCATCAATTATACGTGCCAAGCATCGTGCATCACGCGTCAGGCATCATTCATACATGTAAACGATCTTAAGGTAGCACGCATCACACATCAAAGCGGATGAAGCACTTGAATCAAATTTGCATAAATGGCCACGATGAGCTCTGTATGTTAAGGTTTGGTCTCCGACTTTGTATAAAATGCATCTACTCAAGTTCCTGTCTCTATGGTCCTGTGCTCCGTAAATGACTTTTTGCCTTAGAGGGGCATACCTCATAAGGTCCATACCTCTCTGGATTTCATCCTGAGCATTTTTTACCTAAAGACTATCACCGAAATGGTTATTTCCTGTTTCGTTTTAGCGTCTCACAGGTGTTCATTACGTCTCAAACGGATAGGGTGTATGTTCTCCTCCACACAGACTGTATCCCTGCCATGTTTTTCACACAGGTTACACTTAATTTCGTAAACCATGTTTTTTTTCTCGTGTAAACCCCTTGAAACCTAGACTTGCGTGAATAACTTTTCCTGACATCCGACATAAAATATGTTCTTGTAAGAAATCGGCCACCAGACCTTAGCGTACAGGGTTCATCATAATCAATTATGCGAATATGATAAGTGCCTTGATGTGTGATGTGTGCTAGCTAAAAATCATTGACGTATGAGTGATGTCTGACGCGTGGTGCGCAATGCCTGTTAAATTGAAATATTCTGCATGTATAATTGATGCGTGATGCGTGATGCGTGATGCCCGTTTCACTGAAATTGCTTGCATGTTTGAATGAAGCGTGACGCCTGCTTACTTGAATTCGTTTGAATGTACACGTATTTTTCGCATGTGCTAATTCTTAGTCAGATATGCACTGCACTGTAATAATGGTTAGCAATTTTTCCTTGCTTAATCCGCTGAATGTTGGTGGTCTGTAAAAACTGTGGCTCGCCGCTTTAAAAAAAAAAACTAAAAATCGAGTAACACTGGCAGTCAATTTCAAATTCACTACTGACGTTAGTTTCGATAAAGGCTTGTTGCAGAGATATCAACGCGCCTGTCTCTCCATTCTTCTGGTTTTTCTATGATGAATGGGGCTGTTACTTTTCTATGTCCATATGTCTTTTCTATATGCATGATGTTTCAAAGTGCGCTTAACAACTTGTGTGATTTGGAAGCGACTTTGGTTAAGTGAAGATGTCGGCGAAACGATGGGTATGGATGG